GAAATGGGTTGGTAGAACGAGGTGGCTTCAACTGCTGTTGCTACGAAAAAGCTAAAACCTTATTTCCACCTGTCTAATGATAGCGATTCTACCGTCACTGAAACGCGAGTCGCTCCTACGCAGATAATCCACCTTACTCGTGCTCGTAAATAATAACTCCATGCAATAATGAAATTTTTTTGTATATAAATGACCACATCAAAATTTCGTCGCTGCCGAGATCATTCCCATTATTCAAACTAACTTCATTTCTGTCTGTAAAGTAGATCTCTTTGCTTCCCGAAACTTGTGTAAAGTGGCAATTGAAGTGGTTTTGACGTTGGTCTTCTTGTGAGGCTCGTGCAAAAATGTTTGATCACAGTCATGATTCCTCGAATCGATGGATGTTATCAGCCGGTTGAAAGAGATTTAAATGTTTTATAGGAGTTAGTCTACCCATTGTCCAGCACTGCCAAGACTCGATGAGTTCTTAAACATCATCCAAAAATCTACGTTGATATGGGTGTGTTTTTTTTTAAACATCGCTTGTACGTCAAATTTTCGCACTTAGTATGAATCTTATCTCGCCTTTCCATGTGACATCATTTGCGTGTGTCAGAATTGTTGCTATTTTTGCGAGTAATGGAGTCTTTGCGATGAACAATGTCGTCTATCGCTTTCGTAGATTCTATAGTATTGAGTATCTTCTAAAAAGTCCATATAGCGAGATAATTCCAAGTGAATATTATAGCGTCGTCTGATAAAGCACAATATCCACTAACAGTAGGCAGACACGTCGAATGAAGAAACTTAGATGTTTCATTTGTTGGTACCGGCTTAGGTGGAACTTGACACACTTTCCTCGGATGGTCTCCGACGTCAGAATCTTGATGTTTGAGTTACATACTTGTATACTAACCGATGGATTAGCTACAAATGAAATTCATGAAATTAATTTTTATGAAGGATAATTTCCTTACTGTACTCCTTAAAATTCTCTCTCATAACTGATGCTTGGAAATGATATCACGAGCAAGTTAATGTCAGTGAAAAGATTTGTTGAACCGCAGGATTAGTTTTATTTTTCGAAGATTACGGGTTGCCTGATCCATGGAGAGCTCACTGAAATAACAGTTGATCCGACTCGTATAGTTCTTAACCTGCCTAGCATAAGATACTGGAGTGAGCACCCAACGATTGCAGAGAAACACTTTTATCTTAGAGAATCGTTGTTGGCTATTTTGTGATCTATAGCTTGATGGCTTCCTAGAAAATGACTGGGTATTTCTTCTGAACTTATGGCATGTCTGTAATCCATGCATCCAAACAAAGTAATTTTTAAGTCCAAATCTTTCCAGGTTTTAGTTCAAATCTTCGATTTTGTTGTGTGCTGTGTCATGTTGAAAATAAAAAATTCGTGATCTTGGGGAAATCTTTCAGGCACTTCTCAGCAATTTCTTTAGATGAGAGTATAACCAATTATAACCAAACAAATTATGAGATTTCTGTCTTACATAATAACTTTTTTAAGAAGCTTTATTGTGAATACTCGATACGTTTAGTGCGTAGATTATCTGCTCACCAGATGAAAGAATTGTTGTATATCACTTTATAAAATTGATTTGTTGCATTTATGAAAGTATTTAGCATTCGTTAGAGATAACCGTTGTTTTTATAGAAATTTATGTAGTGTAAATCATCCATGAATGTGTGGGACTCGAATGAATTCTATGAATATTCCTGCATTGATTGATTGTTGATTTATCTAGGACGAGTGATATTTTGATGTATCATTTCCTTCTTGCCGGGTTGGATGTGGAGTTATTAGCTAAAATTTGTCTTGATGTCTTAAAGATGCTTATCTTTCATCAAACTGTCCTGCAACCAGCCTTGGAGAAAGCTGCCAAATTTATTATATACTACCAACATTGTGTGTACAAAATGTGTTGAAAATTTTGATTAATCATATTCATGTAACAAACCAGTCGAGTTTAAGCACTTCAATATTCCGAGTAATGGCATTGATCTGCCGCCTTTACGAATATGAAAAGGTCAGCGTTTCGCTGGTCGTGTCGTTCATGATCATTTTGGTTGTGCTGCTGCGGAACTGTTTTGGTGTCTCCTGATGTTAATTTGGATAGCATTCGAGTGTTCCTCATCACTTGACGTTCAATCGTAAAGTTCATGCGCAGGTCGGTGGCATCGGTGTTAAGTGTGTGGTAGAATTGCAGCGCCATCAGTGTTTGCTTCCTACACGGCTTCTCTAACTTAAGACTAATGTTAAGTTGTGAAACTCGTCGTGTTCTCGCCCACAGATCTCAGCTGCTACCAATTCACTCACTGTCTGGCATGAATTATTTACACAATTTTTCATTATTCGGCCAATTGCGAAGTATTGGAAAAGCTTGAAGTTTCTTACACGATGCGAAAAAGTTGGTGAAATATCGATTGCAAGATTTGATCATCACAGACGGACACGAAAGCGAGCTAAGAAAAACGTGGTAAAATTCGTGCAGATCAGGTGTACATCTTTCTTTCACATTATTACTAAGAAGATTGCTGATTCGGTTTTACTCGCACGTGATCCATCTGCCAAGTTCGGTTATTTTCATGTGTCTTATGAGTTATCAAAAGACAAATTATTTCGTTCTATAAAAAATAATAACACTGATATTCTTCCAATTAAATTTGTGTTGAAGCACTTTTACCCCTCTCTTCTCAATTCCCATGCCCAGCAACTTTGGGAGCTTGTTAACTGCACTGTATTGCCTACGCAAAACTTCAATGTGATTTACTCGATACAAACGTATAGGTTAGACTTTAATAATTCTAAATGTTTAGTTCACAGCTATCAATCAATTTTCTCATCAACTTAATTTATTTTGTAGTAGTTTCGTTTGTATTTTCAATGTCGAAAGTTGATAACGGTTCATTTCCTACAATTGCCAGACAATTTCTCCTCCACTTCTGGATTAGTTAGATGGATGACGTGCAGAACTACTTTTCACTTGGTGCGTTGCTATGTCCTCGGTTATTGAATTGAATTTCAGTGTTTAGAGCTCTACACTGCCCCGATGGTTACGTGCCAGAGTGCGGTTAATATTTTCCTGCAACTTGATGTCAGTGTCATTATTCATATATAGTCTTTCACGGAATATAGACACTGCGATTGAAATCAGACGGAAAGTTTTATGGTTAAAACAATGACATGAATGATTAAATCATTTATTAAAAGTTTATTCTTGATTGATCAAGGCATGGTTTAATTCAACCATGGACCAAGGATTAATTTGAATTTCTGTGACGAGTTTTTTTTTTTGACAAAACAGTGCAGTTCTTTCAAGTTCCCTCGCCTATGCTTCGTAAACGTCAGTAGCGGTTAGTCACCTGTAGCTAAGCTTTTGTATTGCTTTAAGTAAATGAGAAAGTATGGGGGTGCTCACTGAAATCTCAACTTACCGCCTCTACTCGTAAGAAAATAAATGTTATTCTTCACTCAGTTTTGATGTGTAGTGCACGTAGCAAATGAGTTTACTGAAACTGCAAAAATATCTAAATTCTAAACCAATCTGTAACATGTTTCTCAGGCTGTTCTAATCAGGGTTCAAAGAAGACTGGTGGCGCTAAGCCTCCTAAAATTCTTGATAGTTGAAAATGACTGCCTGAATATTTATTCTAAATTATATTAGGGCCATATTATATTAAAATTTCAGCATTGTAATTGTCTGCTATTGTAAAGAAAAAAGATTTCGCAAACGAGCATAACTTATTTAGGGGGCTTAAGATTTTTTTTTTTTTTTGTCTGCTGAAGCCCACCTAAAAATATGCCCATTGACGTCACTGGCCACTATGATGGGTCCTATCAATACTCATTTGTTTTTACGTCGTGAAATATTCTGTAACGTTTTAATGTCGCTGGAAGAACCACAGAGAAATTATTTGTCTGCTTTGAAAGTTTCATTTCGAATCCTTAAAATTTTTCATTTCTGTTTAGAATTCTGAACAGCTTTGAAAGTTTGCAATACAGCCAGGCTCAATGGTTCGTTCATGGCTGGTCTGTTCATTTACCTAATTTAACTTCATGAGAGTTGTTGCCTAAATTAAGCTCCTCCAGTCATCGTCTTCAAAAAACTTTCGTTTGTCTGGATTGACCCAAAGTACCTTACTTCTTCGTCTTATTCGACGATTTTGTTATGATGTGATCCTGATTCTTGTTTCGCTTTCATTAGAAACCAAATGATGAATTTGTAGTCATGAAATAATAAATTTAACTAGAAATTGAAATTCGATCGTTATGCGAGTTTGACGATCGTTTGAATTTGTTCATGAGCGTACTCGGAGTGCCATTCTGTTGCTATGGTCCACATGCAAGTACGCTTTTTCCTACTTCGCGCTTCGTACCCTTTGCTTCATCCTCGCCTGAAGAGCTCCGACCTGTTTGTGGCAGCGACTCACAGTGACGCCTTCGTTGACGAGCGTAGCATTCCATGACTTTTCCTTTGGCGTGTTGTTTGTGCTCAAATTTCAAGTTGCGTTGCTGAAGTTCGATGTGACGAAATGTTAATTGTAAGGAAACACTTTTAGGTTTAATGGTAAATACCGACCTAGGGATCGTCCTTCCTGTTCAATAAGCCGTAATTCTCATGATGGTCATCGTTGCTGAAGCATCACATTAACGGTTACTATTTAAATCGTTTCCTGTGGTAAAAATGTTTCAGAAGGAAGATTTTTCAGTTCTTAGTTACACGCCCAGGCAATTCCACAGAATTTCGGCCTCATTATTCGATCCCCAGTTTCACGACACATCATTGGAGTTTTATCTTGTACATGTCAAGCAGCTTGCCAAAGAACCATTTTACTGCAATACTCAGTGTAATAAAGGGGAAGGATTGAGATTTTTTCAATACCCTCGTATGATGAATCCTAAGCGATTTGCTACGAAGTCAAGCTATATTTCCAAAATATATCAGGATCGCGAATTATTTTGCATTTTTCACTCGCGTAATGGTTTGAAAAGCCAAAACAATCAGTTATATTTTAATATATTACAATATTGTGATGAAACGGGAATTTTAGCTTTAGCTACGCAACTGTGCCATCTTGTTGCGAAATGAAAATAAATTGATCGATTTCGCAGATACCTGCAATATTCACACCTTGGTACTAGCAAATTAACTGAATTATATTGATAACCTCCTTCAAAATATACTTTGCATTGCCATTGAAACCCGTCTAGTCAATAACGATTTTGAACTGAATAAAATGCTATGAAACATGTGGAGGAGACCCGCCTACACAGTCTGCTGGATAACCTGCGTATACTTATTTATCTTGGAGGCGATGGACATATCTACGTATTTATCACCGATAGATACGACCATGCCGCCGATGATGGACGGATCCACCTTCATGGTCAAGTTCAGAGTCTCGCCTTTCTTAAGGAAAGCACCGAGCGCAGCCTGCACTTCCTTCTGTCCTGCTGCATCCAGGGGCTGCGAGAAAAACATAGAACAGTTGATCACGTAAAGTAGTTTATATAAGAAAAATTCAAATGTGTTTGGCATGTCCACTCCACTCTACAGTAAGTGCAAAATTCAAAGGGATATTTTTCATAGAAGATTTAGGATTGTAAGCTCGTTATTGGTTAGTTGCTGGTAGAGGTTGAGCATTTTATTATATTAAAAACGACCACAACATCAACAATGTGTTCTGTCCCTCAAGCTTAAGATCTTTTAAGTTTGTTCATCAAAAACTTTTTTTTCCTACTGACGGAGTTCCAACTTTGAATCAAGATTATATTTTCCAAATTGTGATAGTTTTTCAATGATAATATGACAGATTCTGAAAAATTGGCTACATTATGGAAAATGAATTTCAAGTACATAAATGATTGCATTATATTTATCAAATTTGATAATAGGTGCATGGCTCCAAGCAGAAATCTGTATGATATTACGATCATATGATGCCTACTGGGGTTACAAAGTCTAAAGGAGGCCTCTGTCTGTGAATTAAATGACGACCTTCAGTGACTTTATTCAATAAAAACTCTAAGGGTATCGTGGGCAATGGAGTAAATGAGGACAAATTAAATTCAGCCGAGATCAGGTGTTCACAAAGCTAACTTGGAACACTGTTCTTCATGTTTCAAATGATTAACTGGACATTTATGAGGCTTGTCTTGACATTGCCAACTTATACCGCTCCTCATTGGTGTTACTTTCCTTTGAACAAGACTGCTTCAGAAGTAACAGATGGGACAGCATGAAATGGAAAGTGACCTGGGTATTTGAAACTCCTATGTTAACTTCCAACATAATATACTCAGTCGCATTAAGAAGTATTGGCAAACTAACCTTAGCAGTGGTAACTTCACAGACAACCTCTCCTCGCTCAGCAGCCATGATGGTGTCGAAGGAGCTTAATACAGCATCCACTTTCGCCAGGCGGTTGTTCTCGGCCAAGGCACCTGAAATCACAGCTTCTATTAGATTCGGTAACAAAAATTGCAGGAAAAACGGCCATTAATGGCGTTCAATTCTTTTTTTTTTCGTGAACGGGGATTGAAGAAGAAAGTTGATAGGACGGAAGTTACAAACGAAAGTCCATACCTACTCAAAGATTGATTTGTAAAAGTAGAAATACAGCACAAAAATCGCAGGAATACAACTTTTAATTTAACCAATTTGATACACTTATGGAAAGGAATGTTACATCTACTTCGGTTATCAGATGCAAAGATAAAAAAAAAAAAAAATTACCTCCATACACTGTTGTATTTCATGATTATTCTATAATCAGAACAGGACAGAAGAAAAATGGTACCTATGTTATGAAGTAGGACAAAGGGAAATACAGGATGACGTAAACAGAGCTGCTGGTAGAGGCGTGACATAAATCGAGTTGCTGGTAGAGGTGGGACATAAACAGAGTTGCTGGTAGAGGTGGGAAATAAACAGAGTTCCTGGTAGAGGTGGGACGTAAACAGCTTCCTTGACATTACCCCATAAAAACTAGTCACACGAGGTGCCAGGTGAGATCAGATGATCTTGGTGGCCAGAAGTGGAGAGCCAGATATTCATTTCCTACGAGTCCAACCCAATGCTCAGAAAGTGACTGATTAAAAAATTTGCCCAATTCCGACTTTGAATAGGTTAGCTGGATTTTGAATCTTTCTCTTTCTATTAGGGTATAAATTATTCATTTTGAATTTCTACTTAAATAAATACAAACTTATTTAATTGGGTCCATCATTTATAATACCGTTGTAGGTACCTATATTGTTTATTAGTCAATAATCAAGTCCCAGAAATGGCGTCTTGGACATGTAATGTTGCGATGTAGGTCAAGGGCCAAATTTTGCCCATTTCCATGTTCTTAATTTTGCAATTCATAACGAACTTGGGGTGGGAAGACTATCAGTCTGTTGCACCAAAGCTTATAAAGATTGAAAGTAGTGCCGGGCAATCAAATCTGAAATATACCGTCAAAACTATCCACTGAAGACACTAGACTTAATAAAAAATTGAATTATATACCAGCCTAGATTGAGAATTAATTGCAAAAACAATTTGAATACCCAACTTTTCAACAACTGAAGATCCTATTCCTTAAGTAGTTTCAACAGCAAGAAATAAACAGACAACAGAAAACATGTTAACGCCTGATGCCGTGCAAACTGGCAATCAAATGATGATTATTCATCTCACCAAAAAGGTTTATGGTGAGATTGTTGGCTTTCTTCTTGGTGAGCGCAAAGTTGAGTGCTTCTTTTTTCAATTCTTTCTTCAACAAAGGATTGAGCAGCAGCTCCTTGAGAGGTTTATCAGTCTTCAGTAGGCTCTGTCAGGTATAAAATTCGTCATAAACAGAGCTCTTATTCCTCAACACATAAATATATATGGTACCCTAGGGCATACGCTATTTCTGACCATACAATTTCGTGTACAATGTACTACGTTTCATGTCTGTTTTGATATGAGTAATAATGCCGTTACTGCATTGAATATGAAAACTCAGTCCTGATTTATACATATCACTCAACAGAAATTATACATAAAATTGTGATTATCATTCAAATCAGTCCACTCAACTACTATGCAATTCATTGAATTGTGTAAAACAGTCCAAATAAAAACTGTGTTCTTAGTGAAATATCAAACAATTTTTGACTGTTTTAAAGCCATAAGCTGACAGAAGATTTCAAGATATGGTATGTATTGATAGAAAATGGTGTCAATATCACTACACTCAAGCACTCACCAAGGGCCTAGAAAATAAACTTAAAATATCTTGGCAGAAATGTCAAAATAGCTACTATGGCTATCAATATCAAATTTTATTCACGTTTCAAAGTCTCCTTACGCCAAACTCCTTGAGGTCTTTTTCAACCTGGGGTAGAGCTTTCTGCTTTGAGGCAGCTGAGTAGAGAGCGGTAGCATAGCGACCTTCTAGTGTAAACAGTTGAACAGGTGCCTGCACAAAATACAAATAAATTGTCGATAAGAGGAATAGAAAAATTAAGACTTTCAAACATAAAGGGTAAGAGGGTTCAAGACTTCCAAACATGAAGGGAGTAGAGGGTTTGGGCATTATCCAGCATGGTGTCCACCCCTTCAATACAATAATACTCAGGTTTCCTTTGTGATATTAAAGATAAAGCAATCTGCCTACGTTCGCCAAACTATAATCATGAGATGTCTGGAAAAACTAGAGGTTCTTAATTACTAGAACTAAATAATACATCCAGGTAATTGAATTCTATACCTTGACCAGCTGCTGTGAAGCACTGCTGGTGGAAAGCTGACGAGCCTGTAAAAATAAAGATATTTAGAATGAATATTATAAAAAATGGCAATTACAAGTTAAATTTTTATTATAATTGGTGATGGTTAGGTGGGGACTCCTGGTATATGCAAGACATTTTGAACCATATATGCATTTCATTAAAATTGGAGATGCATAAGTCATAAGATGACAAGAAGAATTTCATAAGCAAGTAAAAAGTGTAATTTTGAAAAAGTCTAATCAATTAAATTTAGAAAATCTAAGAGTCTGGGAATCTAAGGCACCACATCTATTCATGGGATTCAAAAAGGAATATCAAATTGAAAGTAGAATGAATTCTTTTAGTAGAATGAATATTACTTTTTGTGTTATTTTTTCTCCTGGCTGTAGTTTGTAGAAAACTTTTCACTGAAAATGTCGTTAAGATAGAATAGTAATGAAGAATTCATGTGACTGTAAGATGACAATGTTGATACCATTCGTCCCTTGATATACTTCCTGATTGATGTCTTCCTTGTTGAAAGATAAGATCCTTTACACGCGATATGTTCATGAGCATTTCCTTTTATTAGCCTTTCCTGTTTATCAAGTCAAGCCCTTGGTGACGTCAATTAGCGTAGCTATATGAGCTCTGCCCAAACGCGGAAACCCCAGTCTTGGGCTGGAGAACGTCGTGTATACGCCAATACTCCTGTCCTTAACAATCAGGACAGTAAGCCTAAATTAATGTCAGAGTAGAAGATACACTCTAGACTCATCCATACTCCAACTGGACACCGAAGATATCTGTGTTAAAGCTCCAACTTATCAACTGATTATCCTAAACTGTAAGCCGATATATTTTCACTAAGTTTAAGTATCTAATCTGTACTTAACTCGTGCCTCATTTATCCTCATTTAAGTCAAGGCACCAGAACCTGCCTCAGGTAGTTAATAACTAATCAGATACGCCTATAAAATGCATGGAAAAGCACAGCGTACATACGAGTCATTAACCTCGTACATGACAACTTTACATGTTTAATTTGAAAATTATCATTACAAGTAATGAATTTCACTTGTAAAGAAGCATGGAAACATGGGGATGCAACTTTTATGATAAATTTTTGCCTGAACATATACCTAATGAAGGAAATTAGGAATCAATAATTCATGGACTTTTGTCTAAAAAGAACACTCCCTTTAACCCTTTTGCAGTTAAGTTACCATATATGGCAATTAAAATGGAAGTCAAAAAATGGCCCCCCATGTCACCCATTGGTAGCCTGCCAATAAGCTCAAACCAATCACAGATAGTGTATAAGTTACATCATGTACCATCAAACAGGGTATAAGGGACAGTTTTGAGCGTTTTTCCTTATTAACTTCTTGCCATGAGATATTTCATAAACAAGTTTGGTCTCATTTTAAAGGTATTTGCATGGGCTATCATATTGCATCTTTGAAAAAATCCTATAAGCTATTCGTAAGTTGCCAAACGCAAAATAAAAGCCTGCTGAACTAACCCTGGGAATGGAGTAATAAGGGACACTTGAAATAAAACTCAATTTTAAAACGTTTGAAGCATGCAAAAAAAAAAAATATATTGTAAAAAACATACCTGAAACACAAAGTAATATTTTAGTGACAACCATCATATTTTTTGACAAAAATATCATAGTTTAGGTTAATTACTTCTCATTCTATGTTGCCTGGTGAATAATTCTATCTTTGACATTCTATGCTCAATTTTGTAATTACTGATGATGCATTAATTTTTTGTGGAGTGAAATTAGTTTGCTGTGAAAGGTAAATCTAATCAAAATTCTTTGCTGCTAATTAATTTTTCTGTTAACTAGAGCCTTTGCTAACCAAGGCTCTACTGTAAATGCATTTTTAGGGGTGTCCCTTATTACCCCGGGGGATGTCTCTTATTACCCTGTCGTGTGGAAATGGCTGCCATTTTTTTCTGGAATGAGATACGCTAATTCTGTCAATCACATTTTTAAAGCAACACCTATGTGCAACTTTTATGTAAGTAAAATTTTTCAATACAGAGAATATTTTTTTAGCGCATTTTCTCATTTATGGAAAAAAATGCACAATTGTGCTCGCCATGTCCATCTGTCTGTCTGTGACCTCAAGTTTTCATCGACAAGAAAATGCGCTCTCTGTCACTCACTGCAGTGAGTACTGAGTTATATTTTTTTTTGCTGCAGACCTTAGCAGAGGTATTTTTCCAAAATCTCACTTTTCACACTTTTTTAAAGGATTTTTTAGAGGTAGTAAATGATGATTTCTCAACTTGCTTTATGCTACATAGATAGGAAAAATGTTTAACTTTATGCCACTATTTTTTGTTTTGCAATATTCTAATTAGTTTAGCTGCTACAACATTTCTACAAAATGTCAGAGGACTGCCCCTTATTACCCTGTTTGACGGTATGAGGCAACACTCTGAAGCGCTCTGGCGTCAGTGTGAACTCACATAAAAATTAAGTACTCTGGAGACATGGTAAAAATGGCATTTTGGGACCTTATTGTATTCACTTTAGCAGCTCTAGCCCTCAAAGTACCTACCGTAAAATGGGGTAACTTAGACTGGCGTGGTAACTTAGACCACTTTTCGTTTTTTTTACAAAAACCCCCACAACTCAGAAACTATTTGACATAGAAAAATTTTGTCAACGGGCATTAAAGGCCTAATACTGAGGCTACATAATACAATAGAAAGATTTAAAAAGTTTGCATATCTAATAGGTTGACAAATTAAAAATGTGACACACAAAAAAAAGCTATTATTTAAAGACTGTCAGAGTACCCCCTCCAATTTTTTAATTTTTTGGTTAAATNAAATGCAAGATGGTGAAATTAGACTGCAAAAAATAGTTTGATCATATATGTGCATACGCCCACCAATGCTTAGAGATAGAAGTGACTAAGTTTGGACATATTCCAAAATATGCCCAGCTTTCCCGCTAAAAGTAAAAATTTCTGCAGCACTTGGTAAATATGTTTGTTAGGAATGTTAGCCCTACTATGATTTTAGTCACAAGATTTTTTAGAATCATTTCATTTTTAATTTCCTTATTTACACAAGATTTAAACCAATTTCTCATGTATGATGATGCTGGTATCCATGATACTTTGCTTGTCTACTTATTGGACTCAAAAATGAACTTGAGGGAGAGTCTAAAAAAACTATCTGCTTTGTCACTTAGCGGCCACTGGCACTATGCTGTGCGGCGGTCTGTAAAGAAGCACTGATTGGTTTAAAATGTCATAAGACCATGTTCTTTTATATTAGGGTAATCGCGGTATATTCTGACATTGTGGGTAATTCCGACACTTCTCAACTTTTTCCTTTATATTAAGCTTTGTCTTAGTTCCACACATTCGTTGATGGTTGAAATAGTGATGTCATACTATTGCGCACCATACTATTGCCAAAACACTTGGTCTGGGCCATCTGGCAGGAAAATGTTAAGATCCAAAGAGAGACAGTGCACGTCACCCAGTGAGAACATCGAAAAACGTGTCAAAGTTGATTGTAGACCTTGCTCTACCAAATAGTGATAAACTGTGTAGAAAGAATATTATGGTTTGAGATATTTAACACTTTGACTGCTACGTGCGCCATATATGGTACACGCATGCATGTCCCAAACTGCAATGTGCGCCATATATGGCGCACGCTTAAAAAATTTAGTTTTTTAAAAATATCAGCCAGATCAAAAACTTGTGAAAAATATGACGAATAATTTACAATAATGTTTTCAAAAATCTGTATGAACATCGTGCAATCAAATCATAAGAATCTTAGTACCGGTAGTTGGAATGTAGTAGCCTGAAATAATGAGTGGTTACAAAGAAGAAAAAGTATTAAATAAAGGGGGTTATCCTGATACAATACGTTGAAAATCATCTTTCCAGTATTGGTATGGATTATAGCAGTAGAAAAATAAGTATTAGTCATTAGAAAGTTGCCTAAGCTCACACAGAAACAGAATGGCACTGTAAAAAGCAAGATAAACAGTGATACTGATTTCGAGTACTGGGCTAGCAATTGATAGTTACTTTTCTAGATTTCCTTCTCACTTTATCACCAACTAACTTCTTTTTTTTTTGCATTTATTTAAAGCAAAACTCAGATCAGTAGCTCATCTTGGCATGAAGTTCAGATCCTCAGCTTCAAATACTTTAAAGCTGGAACGCCAACATCTAAAATCATTGTGATTTGGTTATAGAAACATTTCTTCACATGTCTGACCTATTACTAGTGAAAATACATTCAGTAATCTTCAACGACTTCAGCAATTCACATCGATTTTTACTGACTATAGGACTGATCACCAAGCACCTAGGTATTTGCTACAGTTTTTGCCAATAACTTGCAATTGCACAGAAAATGTTTTTTTCAAGCGTTAGTACCTGTGTGATGCAAATTTTTTATTGTAATTGAATAATAAATGCCTTGTACCTCATATGGCGCACGTTGCCTGGAAAGATGGAAGTTTCCATCCCAGGCGACATGCACCAATAGAGGCTCACGTAGTAATTTTATATTAACTTCCAAGCCGGTCTATGTTACCCCGTCAGGGCTGACAATAGCTGGTCTAAGTTACCCCATTTGGGGGCGGCGTCCCCCATTTGCAAACTATGACACTTTCCTAAAATTTGTCATTTGCATACGTAACTAGAAGAGTTCTACTACAATGCATCAGAACCTGAAGTTATTTACCCAAAAAATAAAAAAATTGGAGGGGGTACTCTGACAGGCTTTAAATAATAGCTTTCTTTTGTGGGTCACATTTTTAATTTTTTAACCTATTAGATATGCAAACTTTTCAAATCTTTCTATTGTGTTATGTGGTCTCAGTATTAGGCCTTTAATGCCCATTGACAAAATTTTTCTATGTCAAATAGTTTTTGAGTTGTGGGGGTTTTTGTTGAAAATACGAAAAGTGGTCTAAGTTACCCCGCCGGTCTAAGTTACCCCATTAGACGGTATGCTTGTATTTGCTGATTTCAAGTGGTAAATAAATAATAGA